GGGCGGCCTGGAGGGGTTAAGTAAAGGGACAGGAGGCCGTCCGGGATGCAGGGGTTTCTCAGCCCCGTGGTGAGGGAAGGACAGAGGCCTCCCATGATGTTCTCCCCGCTCGGAGGGTCTGAACACGTCTCTGGCAGGAACGGTGTCTCGCCACCCATCCTTCTCGACCCCTTTCCTGACTTTGAAGCCTTCGGTCCAGTCACCTTGATTTCCTCTTGCCCCCAGGACAACAATTCTGGCTCCCTAACCCTTCCCTCCCCAGGCACCTGGCTGGAGGCCCTCCGGAGTCCCCTGGGTTTCTAACACTCCTGGGGTGCGGGCCCGGAGGAGGAGGAGCTGGGGCCAAGCAGGGCAGGCACAGCCAGCTGCAAGGGAGTCGAGCGGAGGGGCGTGTGAGCTGTCTCTCAGGCACTGGGGCTGGGGGGGGTCCTGCACTTAGAGATCTCTGTGGGCTTGAGGGGGAGGCAGGTGTGTGGCCCTGTGCTGGCCCGCAGGGCAGGGTGGATCCCACCTTGTCTCAGCAGTCGGGAGAAAGGTGCCTCTCCTCTCCAGTGGCCTGAGGCGGGGGCAGCCAGAAAAAGGATACCTCGAGTCTCTGCCTGAGGGAGTTTTCGTGGGCTTGTCGCCCAGGAGAAAGGACAGGTGGGTGTGGGCGAGCCTCTGGGCGTGGAACAGCCTGAGGGAGGGGGGCACCGGTTAGCCTGAGGCCCGGAGACCAAGGCCTGCTAGCCCAGCCGCCACGAGTGTGCCTCTTCCTGGGCACAGCTGGCTTGGCCCCAGCCCCAAGGGCCACCTCGGGTCTCCACATCCTCCATGTCGGTGACCTCCCAAGTGTGGTCAGGAAGGGACGCCAAGGAAAGGTCATGACCAAAGCGATCACCCCCACCAGTGGCCCTGTTCAGCCCAGCGCAATTAATTCCTTTCTCCCTTCCTTCTCTTTCTCTTCCTTCCTTTCCTTTCCTTTTCCCTCCCTTCCTTCTCTTTTTCTTCCTTCCTTCCCTTTTTTCCTCTCTTCCTTTCTTCCCTTCCTTCCTGTTCTCTTCCTTCCCTTTTCTCTACCTTCCTTCCCTTTTTCCTCTCTTCCTTCTCATTCTCTTCCTTCCTTCCCTTTTCCCTCCCTTCCTTCTGTTTCTCTTCCTTCCTATTCTCTTCCTTCCTTCTCGCTCTCTTCCTTTCTTCTTTCCTTCTCTTTCTCTTCCTTCTTTCTTCCTTCTCATTCTCTTCCTTCCTTTTCCTTCCTTCCTTCTTTTTCTCTCTCTTCCTTCCTCCCTCCCTTCCTTTCTTCTTTTTCTTTCCTTCCTTCTCTCTTTTCATTCCTTTCTTGGCTGAGAGGCCTCAGGTATAAAGCTGCGCTGTGGACGTTAGAGGGGAGGTCACAGATGTGGTAGCCTCATCTCAAAAAGATCTCTTGGCATTGGAAAAGGTTCAGAGAAGGCCAACTGCAATTATGAGGGGTTTGGAACGGGTCCCACAGGAAGAGAGATTAAAAAGACGGGGACTTTTCAGCTTAGAAATGAGGAGACAAAGGAAGGATAGGATAGAGTCTCACAAGAGAAGGTCTACACAATCAGCATGAAGCAGCCCGAAACGACTTTCCAGAACTGTGTAATTCTTAATTTAGCTTCAAAATAAAAGAGACTTTACGGTACTAATACTCTGAACTTTTAGATAAGAACTGTGGCAATATTAGCAAAGAGGGATTAATTACTGGGAGAGGGGAGGATGATCCCTTTTCAGTTGTTTGCAGAAACTGAGGAACAACGTGGTCTGTGACAGTCCACTGTCAGGTCTCATGATGCCTTGGCATTGACAGCATCCCTAGCCTCTGTTTGCCAGAAGCTGGGAATGGGCGACGGGAGGGATCACAAGACGATTCCCTGGTCTGTTCATTCCCTCTGGGGCACCTGGCATCGGCCACTGTCAGCAGACAGGACACTGGGGGAGATGGACTGTGAGTCTGACGCAGCCTGGCCATTCTGATGTTCTTATGTCCAGCTCAGAGCCCTTGGGGACTGTCTGCCCAGCAATTGCGGGGGTTGCGGTACAACGTCATTGCGAGGGGCCATTTCTAGAAAGAGCCACGGATCAGATCAGGGCCACAACAGCTGTGGAGGGGACAGTCGCTTTTGCAGCCCAACCCCAGCATCCTCCTGGCCCTTCTCAGCAGGCGTGGGAATGACACAGGCCGGGGGGGTCGCCGTTCTACCTGGGCATGGCTGATCAGCACTAGTCCATGCGCACCCAGGGCTCTTGGCCTGGCGGTTCTTGCAGAGCCAGCCGGGGGCCCCGGTACTGCCCCACCAAGGGCGACGTGTCCCTTTAGCAGGAGATGCAGGGCCCTGCCCAAACTTGGCACCATGGAGCAGGATGCGGCCCTCTGCTTGGAACTGAGCACCCTGGGTCCCCGGCCAGGTCGGAACGGGCCCCTGGCCGGCGGGGCTGCATTAGGGTCAGCTACAGTGATCGTGGGACAAATTCTGCTCTCGTTTACACTGGGCCAGGTTTGGGTTTGGCCCGGTATAAAACACACCAGCATTTAGAAGTGCTAGGCCGAAGGCACCTGGTAACATAGGCAGGGGGAAGGTGCTGCCTTCCCAAAATTGCCTTCACGTCCTGGCTGCCGGAAAGCCTGGGGCCGGGGTACGGCAGCCCTGGCCCTCCAGGTGGCCAGGAAGGATTGGGCTGGGGTGGGTGGGGCTTGGCTCCAGGGGCAGGGACTTGGGTGGAAGGGGCGGGGCTAGGGCTTGCCTTTCCCGAGCCCTAGGCCTCCTGAATTAAAAAAGGACCTGACGGGGAAGAGAAAGTCCCTCCCCCAGGCCCCAGTGCTCCCACCAGGGGGCTTTCTGGCTGGAGTTGTCTGAGTGTCTACGGATGGCTCAGGCCCTCAGCAGCCAGATGCAACACAAGACACCACGCAAACCCTGGCAGTGACGTCTAGCAGCCGCCTGGGATCCTGCGGGATCCGGAAGCACAAAGCGTTTGGCTCCAGACCTGCCCCTGCACTCGAGACATTCAGCCACTGCTCCGCCCACACTGCTGGGCTTGTTCCAGGGGTGTGTCATGACCACCACCCGGTTACTAAGGGGTCAACTCAGGTACCTAGCAAAGGTGTCGGGCAATCAGCTGATAACAATGCAGGTAGGAATTTCCAACAGGAAAAGAGGGGTTTTTCTCTCTCCTTTGTTTGAGCTCAGTGCGATATCTCCCAGGGACTGCGGGAGACGGGAGATGCTGATAACAATGCAGGTAGGAATTTCCAACAGGAAAAGAGGGGTTTTTCTCTCTCCTTTGTTTGAGCTCAGTGTGATATCTCCCAGGGACTGCGGGAGACAGGAGACGCTTTCTCTCTCTTGAAATGTGTAAACAGGGAAAAGTTTAGAGGGTTTATTGTTTTCCTTGTTTGGGGATTTGGAAGTCATGGCTGAGCTGGCTAATTGTTTTCTCTTTTGTAACTAAGGATTACAGCCCAGGGACCTTCCCTGAGTATCTATATCAAATTGTGGCTATTTTCCACCTAGGCCAATGTACTATGCTTGCAACAGTAGTTCGGTTTTGATAATGAAAGAGTTTTCTTTTTATTCTAATTAACCGGTATTGGTTGATTGTTGTGTCCTTAGGACTAAGTGCCTCGTTATAACGGCAGAGTCTATTGGTGTCTGTGGATTCCCTGTTTTTCCCAACTTCAAGCCAACGGAGGTTGGGGGAGGAAGGAAGCTTTACCTTAGGAAGGGGATTTCCAAGTGATCTCTTTCCCGGAAAAAAGTTTATTTTTATATTTTCTTGGAATCACTTGGGTGGTGGCAGCAAGGAACCAGTCTTGTCTTTTTTTTAAATCTCAGGTGGACTGAGACTGAATAAGTTTGTCTCTAGGAATCACAGCCAGGTTTTTGCAGTGGTCACTCTGCTTGCCGGCCCCCCAACTCTGCCTGCAGAGTGTCAGGTTGGGAGATTGAGCCGTGACAGGGCTGTGCCCAAGGAGAAGCAGCTGGAGTGGAAAGCCGAGACGGAGCCTTCTTGACAGGGGGCCTGAGCCAGCCGCAACTCAATGAGCGGCTTTGCTTTGCTTCGAACAGGACCCTTTGGTAGGAGAAAGACCCCCCCCAG